TATGCATCAATTGCTATCTATACTGATCCCCAGTCTCCATAGTCCATATTATATCCCAGATGCACGGTCGCTCTTGAAAGTACCACACAACGGTACGGTGGTGCCATCAAGCCCGATCGAGAGAGGGCTACCTACTACGTTTGAGAGTCACGAAACCACTTGACCAGTGGGATGGATGAGGATGTTGGGGAGGAAGGGGTGTGAGAGGACCAAACCGATTTTAGCCGTTGGTTCACCGGTACTTCCTTTCCCTGTGTATCGGTACTTTCAAAAGAGATTGTACTAGTACACTCAATCGCGCTTCTTCCTATACTGACCGCTCCCTGCTGTTTCCCAGATGTACCAGTGCATCCAGTCGCGGTTCTGACAGCTCCTCTGTAGTCTACAGATGTACCAGTACATCCAGTCGCGGTTCTACCTGTACTGACCGCTACCTGTACTGATCTCCCCTGTCGTTTTTCAGATGTACCAGTACATCCAGTCGCGGTTCTACCGGTCCCCAGAGGTCCTGCTCGGCATCCCCTATGACCTTGCCATCGACATGTGGTCGCTGGGCTGTATCCTGGTCGAGATGCACACCGCCGAGTCACTGTTCAGCGGCACGGACGAGGTGAGTCGTGAGGGACGACGGAGAGGGGCTGAGTTGAGTGGGGTATGGAGGTTCGGTAGGGCCCCTGGGAGCGTATTGCCGGGGGTGGGGGTGGGGTGTAGCCTAGGGTTGTGGTTGGGAGCATGGTGGGAGCCATAAAACACCCATTAAATAGATGGAAAAATGGAGGCTAGAGAAAAACACTATGAGTGGTGGTGGCGACTTAAATTGAGTAGGCTTGCCAAGAGCTGTCGTTTGCCCTGCTGACGGTGTCCGCGATTGCTGAAATTTACAATCGTTCGTCTATTGGTGCTGTGTCATAAGTCTTATCACTTTCCTCCCTGCTGCTGTGCTCGTTACTTCCACTTCTGACCACCTGTAACCGTTCCGCTTCCCTTCGCTCACCAGGTGGACCAGATGAACAAGATAGTCGAGGTGCTCGGCATCCCTCCCCGCTCCATGCTCGACATTGGGCCCAAGACGCGCAAGTTCTTCGAGAAGCTGCCGGACGGCAGTTACGTACTGCGCCGGACGGCCAGCGGCGACTCGCCGCGGGTTCCCGGCTCTCGCCACCTACATACCATCCTGGGGGTGGAGACGGGCGGCCCCGGCGAGCGGCGGCTCGGCGAGCTCGGCCACACGGTCGCCGACTACCTCAAGTTCAAGGACCTGGTGCTGCGGCTACTCGAGTACGACCCCAAGCAGCGGATGACGCCGCTCCAGGCGCTGCAGCACAGCTTCTTCCGGAGGACGAGTGATGGCAGCACCAACACGGGTGGTAGTGGAGGGGGAGCACCGGCGGCCGAGACGGCGGCGGCCGGCCGACACGCTCCGCCCGCCGACCCCGCCAGAGGTCAGTAGTGGAGGGACACGAGCACTGGGTGTGTTTGTGTGCGTGGGACTCGTGGGGAGAACGATGGGCCAGGGGAGCGACGGGAAGCGAGATCTGCTGCTCGGTGGGGCGGTGACTATTGTCTCCAGTTCGTCTGTTATTTGTAGCTCGCCATCTATATGCATTCCACCTGACCTTCTCTCTCTCTGTCCGTCTGTCCACAGCCGCTCCCGCCGAAGCCTCGTCGGCGCGGCCCGAGCCGGCAGACCCGGCGCTGGCTGCGCCCGGCTCGTCGGCAGCGCAGACCGTGGCGATGGAGTGTCATTCTCCACTGCGGACGGCGCCCCCGACTGCCGGCTGGACGCGCGCCTACCGGCCGGTCGGCGCCGGCTACCGCGGCCACCACCCTCACCCGCGGCTCGTGCGGACCTCCGAACTGGCCTCCACAGAGGCCCTCTACGCCAACACGGCCCCCGCCGCCGAGCCGGCCGCCGCGCAGTACGCCAACGTCGGACCGTTCCTGCTGTCCGGCGGCGGCGCGCCCAGCGGCGGCGAGCCGGGCCGAGAGGACAGTCCGATGCGCGGCGTGTGTGTGCGCCGCAGTCCGCTCAGCACCCACTGAGGCCGCGCCGCGCCGCCGCCGCGATCAGCTCATCTGTACATAGCCACCGATCTCATCGTCACCGCGCCCTCGATGACGTCACGCGCGGCAGTGGGCGCCCTCCTGTGATACTCGAACGAACTGCCGGCGCATGTCTGCCCGCGCCGGCGGCCGAGCGCCTGTCCAGCCGGCAGCGGTATGTCTCACCAATACACGACGCGCGTTACCCAGAGGGTCGGCCGAACCTACGTGTGGCGTGTGTGATGGGGAAGGGGGAAAGAGCAGAGCTGAACAGGCGGGGAAGTGGCTGGAAGGGACGTAAAAGACTTGGATTCCCGCCACGAAAATATTCAGGCGTGTCGAACTCAAAACAGATACCATGCTCACTGAAAGGTGTATTTATGATCATGCTCACGACATCACCCAAGTACCGATGACATACCACAGTCACGTCATTTTCCGTCGCTCCGCCGTGCCACCGTAGGCTAGGCGGACAAAACGGGCTATCTATCTACCGTGTGCTCGGAACACAGTACCTACTTACGTACCGTCTGAACTGCTAGTGCAGAGTGCGCTGAACTGCTACGTTCAGTCATTAAAGGAAATAGTTCACTTTTTAACATGGGTTTTGAACTGGAATAGCAGTTCCGTAGCTTGGGCTGAGACGAGCATAAATCAGGAGCTTTTACAGCCCAACGATCACCCTAGGCAAAGATATTCTATTTCTCGTCCCGAAAAAGGTGTCTTGCGTTGAGGATGTGTGCCTTGCATATATTTCCATCCAGTATGAAAAGAGCATGGGTCCCGAAAATTCTTCAGAAACTAGAGAAATTATCTACGAGAACTCTAGAGAAATTCTCGTACTGATCAATTAGGACATTCAGGGGAACATTATCAGATCGGTAATGTATGACTTAAGAGTCATGTTACCTTTTCCTCAAGTTATAATGAATATGAAATAATATTTTCGGAGTTTCTTGAGTGATATATATTGAAAAATTGATAGCAAATATTTCGATACTCGTAGTGGTACCTTTTTCAATGCGAGTGATGCACAGTGCGAGCTTTGTTAAGCACAACAAAATAACACAATTCCCATGCAATCGGTGGAGCTGGGTCCTCCAGTGCAGATAAAATAACCTATACGATATCGCCTTCCTAAGAACTTATACAATATCACTGTCTATCACGGAATTTTAATTAAATATTTAGACAAAGCGCTAATTTAATAAAAAGAGCGTCACTTCAGTTACAGGTAAGTCACACTTACACAAGGTGACCCCCCCCCCTCGCGTGTTCGTTCAGCGTGCCAACCACTATTTTTTTAGCACAATGTCCCATATTGGGCTCAGCTGGACGCCACCGCTGTCGAGATTCATTGACGGGCGCAGCTGTCGGATCTCGATGGCCTCCCTGATTTTACGTTTTTTCCAGTGGCGTTCGATGGCTAGGGTTCTCGCCTCGAACGGGTTCAAGTCACCGCCACAGGTACAAAAGTGTCTGGCCGTCGCTGACGTATCGCAGCGTCCGTGCTTGATATCGGTATATCGATATTTTTAGTATCGAAATATTTGCTATCAATTTTTCAATATATATCACTCAAGAAACTCCGAAAATATTATTTCATATTATCAGATCGAGCAGATCGCCCAAATGCCGGTGGCTGCGATAATTTCTCTGTTTCTGAAGAATTTTCGGGACCCATGCTCTTTTCATACTGGATCGCGTGTGCCTTACAGAAACTGAAAAGTTCTTCCTATGGTATATAGGGCCTTGCTTCCTATATCAAAATATAGAAAAAAAAAATTGTTATAAAAAGGTTTTATTTTCTTTGCTTATTATTTTGAACATAAAAAATAATAAATCGTTGCAAAAAAATAATTTCGTGAAAGTGAACTATTTCCTTTAAGCGCTCCTGGACTTCCAGCTTGGAAACGTACACAGGAGCGTAGAACAAACCCAACAGCTTGTCGGGGTGAGTCGCATAAACAGGCCGAAAGCTGGTCTCGCTATCCAGTGAGCATTTCAGATGAGATTTGAAACGATAGGAGCTACCACATGAAGAAGTGCAGGAATAGTAGAGGCATCGCTTTGACTATGACGTCTATAGGCCGCTCGGATACCGAGCGGGTAGAGACGTAAGCCTACGAAGCTGTCTTGTGCTGAGTCCCATGTGTCCCATCACAGCACACTACCCGCACACCGCACATGACACGTCAGTGACTTCCAACCCGCCAAGGCGCGGCGTGGGTGAACCGCGAGTGAGAACACCCACCTGACACAGATCAGCGCTCCGGGCGCATCGTGCACGACCCTGGTCTCCAAGCATTCATCCGGATCACCTGGATCGTTACTGGCCGCTATATTAGAACGGATTCGCATTCCATAGCGCACATACCTTATAGGCCCGGGCAGCGCTTGTCGAACAGCTCTGCGGATCCGAAGGTTGGGACTTTAATTGTGAAAAACCGCCCGCCCGCCGCCAAACGCAAACACCGCAAAACGCACGCCCAAAACGCAAACGCAAACTTCGCAAAAAAAACAATCGCCCGCCCGCCGAAAACCGCAGAAAAAAGCAAAAAAACGCCGCAAAAAACGCCCGCCCGCCGCAAACCGCAACAACGCAAATAACGCCCGGCCGCCGTCAACCGCAAACGCCGCAAAAAAAACGGCCGCCCGCTGCAAACCACAAAAAAACGCCGCAAAAAACGGCCGCCCGCTGCAAACCGCCGCTAAAACGGCCGCCCGCCGCAAACCGCTAAACGCCGCAAAAAACGACCGCCCGCCGCCCGCCGCTAACCGCAAATAACGGCCGCCCGCCGCAAACCACAAAACGCCGCAAAAAACGGCCGCCCGCCGCAAACCGCAAAACGCCGCAAAAAAAACGGCCGCCCGCCGCAAACCGCCGCCAAAACAGCCGCACGCCGCCAAACGCAAACAGAAAAAACACCCGCATCGCCCGCCCGCCCGCCGCCAAACACAAAAAGCGCAAAAAACGCAAACACCGCCGCAAAAAAAACGCCCGCAACGCACGCCCGCCCGCCGCCAACCGCAAACCGCTGCAAAAAAACGGCCGCCCGCCGCCAAACGCAAACACCGCCAAAAACGCAAAAACGGCCGCCCGCCGTCAAACGCAAACACCGAAAAAAACGCAAACACCGCCGCAAAAAACGCCCGCCGTAGGCAAAACGCAAACACTGACGCATTAAGACAAATATGGCGCCCTGCGGCAAATGTGGTGCATTCATATCTGCCGTTTAAGCAGCCATCTCTTAATTACAGCGCATCCTAATCGTCCAATGTTCGACAAAGTTACGCACATTCTGCGCTTTGCGGCAAAAATAGCGCTTTGAGACAAACGTGGCGCACTGCAACAAACATGGCGCATTCGTTCATGTCGCTTAACAATTCGTCCACCCACTAAATTCTAGTCCAATCGGACATAAACTGACAAAGTTATGTTCATTTGAATATTTCACTATAAAATATCTCCGCAACGGAGGTGCCCATCTTCGCACGTGTGCCACGTGACCACCGGTGGCGTAAGCAGGACTTGTCTCCTCACTGATTGCACCATTTCAGGCTTCTTAACTGGTGCAGTTTACGTGCTATAAGGCCACAAATCGGACAACACACGATAATCTGGGAGGTACGTGACTCAAACACGTGGCCACGTGGCACGTGCCGGATCTCTGATAGCTTCACCGTTCACGCCACGTGATGACCCATCGACGTGGCCATCAGCATGTAAAAGATGACCCCGGCCGGTGTCACCGTCTCTGAACAGTGGACGGCTAAACTCGAAAAACAGGAAAATTTAGGGAAATTTCACCTTTCGAACATATAATTCCCCCAGAATTTTTAATTTTTCATTTTACGAAAAATCCGAGATAGCAGTTTTCTAGCCCCCTTCAGTCTGTGTCTATACCCGTTTTCAGATCGACCCTATCATAAAAACTGACGGCCTGACGGCTATTTCCCCCATTCCTTGCATTTCACAATGCTAGTATATTTAAGCACCAAAATTGACCCCGTGCCACGGCACGTGCAATAGCACGTGCGCCACGTGACCACTAGTGCGACAAGCTGGACTCATCTGCTCACCGGCTGCACTGATTTGGTGTCGCTAGCTGAAGTCGTTTCCGCGCCATAGAACCCCAAATAGGCCAATGTCGGATTTTCCCGGAGGTTACCCCATCAAACACGTTTGCACGTGGCACGTGCTTTTCAATCGCCCCATATCTGACCCATACCATGTGGTAGCCGACACCCCGGGGCACAACATATTGGAACATTTTCAAAATCTAACGTGGAATTTTTTTGCAAAATCGATTTGAAAATAATTTTTCGAATTCGCCATAGGCTCAACATGGGGTAACTGTTTGTGACGATTACCCGAAATTTTGTCAATTATATTTTAAATAATTACCACCGTCAGTTGGGGTGCCAGCCCGAGATCCGACCCTAAAAATATCAGCAAATATAATTGACGAAATTTTTCGCAAATCAAATTTCCAATTTTCCCCCATGTTAACCCTATGGGAAAATGCACGTGCCGATTACCCCAAAACGGGTTAATTATATTTCAAGCGACCGATGCCAGCCGGTAGCTCCCCGATACGGGACCAAACGCTGAAAATGGCAAGAAATTCTACCGTGCCGTTTTCGCGGGGATCAAAATGTCCCAATTTCCGGCAGAAACGCAAATGTCCCCCTAGAGAGGTAGCTCAGGTTGGGATTTTCAATAGAAAATCACAATTCTAAAGAATAGTGATTGTTCTTAATTGAAAAGTCCCAACCTTCGGATAGGCCCGGGCAGCGCTTATCGAACAGCACTGCGGATCCGAAGGTTGGGACTTTAATTGTGAAAAACCGCCCGCCCGCCGCAAAACGCAAACACCGCAAAACGCACGCCCAAAACGCCAACGCAAATGCCGCAAAAAAAAACAAAAAAAAATCGCCCGCCCGCCGAAAACCGCAGAAAAAACTCAAAAAACGCCGCAAAAAATCAAAAAAATCAAACCGCCCGCATCGCACGCTAAAAAACGCCCGTACGCCGCAAAACGCGAACACCGCAAAAAACGCAAACACCGCCGCCGCAAAAAACGCCCGCTGCCAACCGCAAAACGCCGCAAAAAACGGCCGCCCGCCGCTAACCGCAAAACGCCGCAAAAAAACGGCCGCCCGCCGCTAACCGCAAAACGCCGCAAAAAAACGGCAGCCCGCCGGCAACCGCAAAACGCTGCCA